CCGAACCCGTAGAGAGTGCGTCCCTGGCGTTTGAGAGCATAGACGACATCCATGGCGGTGACGGTCTTCCTCTTGGCGTGCTCGGTGTAGGTGACGGCATCGCGGATGACATTCTCCAGGAAAACCTTGAGCACTCCGCGGGTCTCCTCATAGATGAGTCCGGAGATGCGCTTGACACCCCCTCTGCGGGCCAAACGTCGGATGGCGGGTTTGGTGATGCCCTGGATGTTGTCCCGGAGAACCTTCCTGTGCCGCTTAGCGCCTCCTTTCCCCAGACCCTTCCCGCCTTTACCGCGACCAGACATCTTTGATATATTACTTAGTTAGATGACTTATAGAGACAGGTAGCGCTGGCACTTCCTTTTATACTACATGAGCGGACCTAATAGGAAACTGATAGGGACGAGTTAGAAGGCGTTTCAGTGATGTCGCTAAAAAGCTCCGCCTCTAGGCGGGAATCAGCCCAACATTTAGCCGTTACTAAGTTTGAAATTCCCGCTCATTATATTCCCCTCTAGAGAATGATTTTGTTGGGGGAAAAAAATACAATATTCTGCCTAGCCTAGAGAGTGAAGTGATAACCACCAAACAACACAATAAAGATCATCATTTATTTGTATTGCTTTATGTATTATTAAAAAAATGATATATATAAGACCCTGATTGCCCCCGAAACGTCGGCTCATGTTGGATTTCTGTGACATCATTGTCCATTAAAAGGACTCATTCATTTTAACTTATGGAGTGCTGGTGACCTATTTTCTTCAACCTCCCTCTGCGTCACACTACTATAGAGTAGTAGTAGTAGTAGTATAGAGTAGAGAAAAACGATAGAGTTTTTCGATGTGGAGGCTCATTGCCTCAGAAAAAACAGCATTAAAATCTATTTCCTTTAATGAAACAAATAACAATGATTTTCATTTTCATTTGTTTCCTCTGAACCAATTTTTTTTTTGTCCAGCACATCTATTACATACCGCACAAAATATATAATCTGACTAATATACACCAGATATGCATAAAACATGACAATATAAAATTAAATAGGTTGTAAAATTAAAAAAAAATATAAGAAAAGTAAACAGTATCCCCAACAACCAATCAGATATTTACATGAACCCAATCTGCCAATATACATGATAGATTTCTTACCAGTGCCAATAAACTTTAAAAACAAAAGCGTTCTCACCAGGGGAGATGCAGGCAGCATTCTTCCTTTGGGGGGCCCAGGGCCAGATCTCAGTGGGTCGCCCTAGCTTTGTGCCCTTGTGTAGCCACAGGGGCGTAGGTCCGCCTTACCTGTATCTATGGCCCCTCCCTCACTACCTCTGAGCTCTTGTCTGCACTGCTGTCAGACTAGGATAGTGATGTAGAACGTTTTTTGAATCAGAGAGCCCAAACTGCGACACAAAACCAATGTATTTATCTCAGAGTGCCAACACTGAAAATAACTTTGGTATTGCCTCACAGCTTGGTGCTGGGGTTTAAAAAATGTTCAGCATCACCGCTTAGGCAAAATAGGGAAACTTACATATTCAAATATTTATACACTCATTAAAACACACGCATTACACACATTCATTAAAACACACTCTTTAAAACACACACATAACACATGCATTACACACACACATTAATACACACAAATCACATACATATCAAACACTCATTAAAAAATAATACACACATCACACATTTAATGAAACACACATCACACAGGTAACACACTCATTAAAAAAAAAACCACACACATAGCTTTATTTACAAAAAAAAAACAAAAACACACACAATAAAACACATCACTCACAAAACTAGGGGGGCTGCATCCCTGGGATCCATTGAGGCACTTGGGGACTATCCTGGTGGTCCAGTGGAGGATCAGTGTGATCTGCTTCTCTGGCTGATGCCATGATAATCGCTCCCGCCTGTGAGCGGCGGCACCACGAGGGAGCGATCAGTACAGTCTGCATCAACGAGACTTTTAGATCATACTGATTCTCCACTGGACCATAAAGGCATAATTTTCATTTAATATATTGCCAGTTCGGCAATATATGAAATGGATCTGGGCACCTGCCAGGTTTAAAGATGACTGTCACCACTCGCGGCAGTCATCTTTAAAAAGTTAATGTGAAGTGGAGACAGGGGGACACCGGAGGCCCGCACGAGCACCACAGGTGAGGATTGGGAGTGGGCGGGCCCCGGCAAATGGCAATTAGGCTCCCGTGCCATAGGTTCACCATAACTGGACATTGAGATGCAGCTGTGTTAAAGTGCCGTCGCCAGGGCACTGGGTGTTAGTGACAGGCCCCTCTTTGCTACGGGCCCTTTGGGCAGTGCCCGACTGCCCTTATGGTCAGTCCGCCCCTGACATACATATAAATATCTGGATATCAATGCATAAATACTGTACATACATAAATGCTCCCCAAGCAGATGCAAATTATAATTTAATTACTTACCTAACTCTACAATCCCGCAGTTATCATTCCTGTTGTGACAGCGCTCCTCCCAAAACGTCACTTCGCATAACATACAATACAGGACAAATGGCTATAACCAGTCTAGTATTGTACATGATTAGTGGTAGGCCGAACAGGTCCAAGTTTGGTTCAAATTCAAACTTTAGAACATCCAAAATGTTCAAACTCGACTCAATGCAAGTCTATGGGGGTAGAACTTTCAAAAACAATTGTCCCCTTTAAGAGTGCTTATATGCAAGTTATTGGCCAGAAAACGGGTATGGGGATCCGGGAACTGCCCCGGGGGATATGAATCGATGCCTTTTTATTTTATAAATTATGTTTTTATTATCAAGAAAGGTTTTACAGAAATAAAAACATATATACAAACATCATCATAGAAAGCAAGTAACGGGGTCACATAGTAAGCAAAGTCAAATGTAACTTTATAACATGAGATGTTGTCATAGCCCGGTATAAACATACAAATAATCAATACACCATACTGTCCTATATCAGCGGGATTAAAACCTTCAAAGCCAAACTGGGACCGAACCCTGAGGTAGGTCATGTGATGGGGCGGTCTTTGCGTCACAGTTGCGGTCGTCTTGGCACATATTCCCGTGAACGATCGACAGCTCATTATGGCAGGTATGGTATAAGGAGCAAAGGGGGATGACAACATAGGAGGGAGAGGGGGGG